ATTTAAAGACTTGAATACATAGAAAACCCTATGAATTCTCAATAATACTGCAGACCTCACTGGCACTTATGGAGGATGCTAGAGAAGTAACTTGTTATTCTGAAAATTGGTTAAAAGATAATAAGGACAAATACCATATGATTTCCCTTATATGTGGAAGATAAACAAACGCATAGATAAGGAGAACAGATTGGTGGTTACCAGAGGGGAAAGGTATGGGGGGAGGGCGAGAGGGGTAAAGGGGCACATATATATGGTGACAGATAAAAACTAGACTATTGGTGGTAAACACAATGCAGGATATAGAGAAACTGAAATATAATAATGTACATCTGAAATTTACACAATGTTATAAGCCAATATGATCTCAATAAAATAATTTTAATAATAATAATAATAATGAGGAAAAATAAAGCATTTTTCCTGTATAAATCACACCTCAAGGAAGCAAATAGTTCTCAAAGGGAAAGTTTTTCCTTACAGAAGAACTCTAAATAACAGACAAAGAAGGAATGATAGAATTAGAAAATTACCGTTTTGGAAACCCTAACGAAATAACGAATCTAGGCAACATTCCTCAATGATTGTTAATATCATAAAAGACCCCCATCACTTGTAAAGCATGCTTGCTAGAAAACAGACCCCAAATCTGATCAAGTCCCAACTATGCATTTATAGGGTATACAGAACGTGAGAAACACTACAGAATAAACCAGTCTGGTTTCTTCAATAAGTAAATTGCAAGGGAAAAAATGTAAGAGAGACAGGGAATTATCAGATTAAAAGAGGCTGAGACATTTCAGTCAAATGCAATGCTTGGACCTTGTTCAGGCCCAATTTGGAAAAAACCTTCAATTTTTTAATAAATGAGGTAGTCAAATATGAATAGTGGTGGAAGAGTCGACGGTATTAAGGAAGCTTAGTTAGTATTCTTAGACATGACAATGATTTTGAGGTTACGTTTATAGAAAGATTGCTTATCCTTTAGAGATACACACTGAAGTATTTTCCGATGAAATGCTATGATGTTTGGGACAAGGCTACATCATGCCTTTCGCTGGTCCTAGGCACTTTTGTCTTCATGGGCTCCCTCCCACCGTAATAGACTTTCGGGATCCTAAAAATGTTGGTTTTTTCTGAGGTGAGAAAAAAATTACAACATTTTATTCAATTTTGCAAGTTCATTTTTTCCTTCTGGTTACAAAAGAAATTAAAGCATCTTTGTAGGCTCCCAAAAAGTGTAGTGGGCCCTGGCACTATGCTTGCGATGCCTAACGGATGGGTCAGCCCTGGTCTGGGATTTGCTTCAAAATGATCCAGTGTGGAGAGGGAGGGGGAAAATGAATGTTGCAGGCGCGTGAGGATGAAATAAAATTGGCCATAAGTTAATAGCTGTTGAAGCTGTATGATGGGCATGGCGGGGGGGAGGGGGTGAGTATCATATTGTCTTCCTACTTTTACCTACGTTTGAAAATTTCCATAATAAGTTAAAACATCAACTTCTGAAAAAGACTCATTTGAACGTTGCATATGAACTAAACAAATAAAACCAAAAGAAAAAGCTGGTTATTTGAACTTGGTGTTCACGCAAAGAGAATTAAAGATATCAAACCTCACTTGGGACAAAGGTCTACTTGGTAAAATTTTGCTAAGATTTAAAACCTAACCTGACAGAGGGTTTTTAAAACTTGAAATTTTTAAATTGACTTTCTAATTTGTTTGGCAGTGGGGAGAATGACACCATATGGACAGAGATGCTGCCTGTCAATATGGTACCATTTTATTTCTGAGTAGCTGGCTAGGGACAGCCTTATGAGAATTTCACAGTGGTCTTTGCAACAAAATAATCAATACAAATAAAAGGCAGTATAGGAAGTCTACCCTGACTTTCAGAAAAGTCGCATTTGATTATTGTGAGCAGGTAAATGCAATGTTGACTTTGTGGCCGAGTAAACCCCAGCATACCTGTGTGGGGCAACATCCCCGCTCCGGTAAGGTTAGGTAGACCCTGCTGACCTCTCAGTACCTTCCTTGTTCCTCCAGCCACTAACTCTAGAAATAGTTACTGGGTATCTACTCTGCCAAGCATTGTGCTAGATATGTGGATACACAGTGAACAGAACATGATTCTCATCCTGAAGGATCAAACCAGAAAGAACTAGTCATTTGTTGGGGAAACAGAGATGTAAACAGACATTTTCAAAACAAGTTGAGAAGTATTTTGATAGGCTGGGTGGAGAAGGCTAGAAGGCACCCCCACAGATGCTAAAGAGTTCAGGGAAGGTGTTCTGGAATTGGAGAGAGATTTAAGAGACTCAAAGGAAAGTAGCAGGTTTCAAAAAAAGCAGAAGAACGAGGAAGGCAGTCCAGGCAGAGAGAGAGGTATGTGTAAAGTCCTGAAAAAAAAGCCAGGGAGAGTGCGGGAGGTACGAGTGCTGGGCAGAGAGAAGGTGGTTGAGGGGAGACCAGGTGGTGAAAAGCGGTATGGGGACACTAAGCCATGGAGGGGTTGTAATGAAGGAGCAAATGTCTATACCAGGGGTTCTCAAAGTGTGGGTTGGGACCAGCAGCATCAGAAACACCCAGGAACTTAGAATGCAAATTCTCAGGCCCACCCCAGACCTACTGACTCAGAAACTCTAGGGGTAAGGTTCAGCAATCTCTGTTTTAACAAGCCTTCCTGGTGATTCTGAGGTATGCTAAGTTTTAAAACCATTGGTCTCTACCAGTGGTTCTCAGTAGGAATGATTTTACTCTCCAGATAAAATTTAGCATTGTCTGAATACACTTTTGGCTGTAAGATTGAAACGGATGTAATACTACTAGCATCTCCTAGCCAGGGATGCTGCTAGACAACCTCAATACAAGGACAGACCCCCACAACAAAATCCAAATGTCAACAGTGCAGCTGTTTAGAAACCCTGATCCTTTCTTCTTACCTTCCTCTCCTCCTCCCTTTCTCTTTCTTCTTCCTGCCTTCCTTCCTTTCTTTCTTTCCCTCTTATTCTTTCTTTCTCTTGCCCTCTCATCCATCTATCTATCTACTTTACCCCCCTTGTTCCTCTACAGATAGCAGAACACTCAAAAGGCCACAAAGTGCTCATTTTCTATATTTTTATTGATTCAATTACAGTTAACCTTCTTCTTTTATCCAATTAATAACTCTCCATAACAAAGTTTATCTATGGCTAATGGAGGCATTATTTTACTTCTGCCCAGAAGGGGCCATTTATGTCCCTGGGAGTGGGATAGTGCTCGTGGTATAGGTAATAATCACCACCCCATGGCTGAAGCTGTAGCTCCTGGCATTCTGCAAATGAGCTTACATATGAAGGTCCAAACAGCCCGGAATCCTGATTTTGTCATGAAAGATAGTTCCAGTGGGGACTGAGGCTTGAAATATCTTGGCTCCTACTGGAGGTGTGAGAGCCAACTCTAAGTTCTCCTCGAGAATATAGAAGTAAGCATGTCTGCTGAGAGTTCAACCAAAGTCCACACAGAGTGGTCTTAAGCAAAGATACATAAGGTCGAGTTAAAGAGGCTGGGACTAACCAACCAGATAGGATTCTAATCTGATTGATAATATTGACAAATCAAAAGGATTATATCCACCAAAAGACAGTTTGTGGGGCAGAAAGAGTGAGGAAAATGTAAAGTTACAAAGACAAACATTAGCAGTGCCCATCTCACACTTTCCAGAGGATTAGGTGCCCTGAAAGATCAGGGACGTGAATGTTTAGTCTACCCGACAGACCTATAATCCCATAGTGGAGGTAGATGCCCCAGGCTTTCAGAGTCTGAAGTCATTAACCACCTCTGTTATACAGCATCCTTGGCTCTGCTTTCATGCTGTCACAGCAACCTTCTAACAATTGTCTTCCTCATGTTTTGCCCAAATGGAGAAAATGCCCTGGTGAGACTGACATGAATGCTGAGTCTGACTAATGGTCATGTTTCACACTGAACATGAATCAGTTAGCCTTCTGGTTTGTAGGCTCTAGTCTCTACTGAATTTACTTAGTCATCTTGAATTGGTAGAATCAATTCTGGGGCACTGACAACGTGGAACTTCTAGACTTCCAAGGTAGATGGAGGGCCAGACCAAGGACCATAGAGGATGCCTCCTGGAGTTTGGTTCTGGCATTTAGCTTGTTGTCTTTCTTTGGTCACCTGACCCTCGCAATGCATCTTTTATTCCAACTTCTACATTCTCGTGATAGTCAAAATGCATTTGTAGATTGAAAAAAAAATGGCCACAATATTTTGCAGCTCCTCTCATCAAGAGGTAGAATCTATTTCCTCACCCTTCGAATTTGGGGTGGCCAAATGACTTGCTTTGGCCCATAGAATGTAGAGGAAGTGACCTTGTGTGAATTCTGAGACTAGGCCTCAAGAGACCTTGCAGCTTCTGTTCTTGTTCTTTGGAGTTCACTGTGTGTCTAAGTCCAAGCTAGCCTGCTGGATGATGAGAGATAAGTGACCCAATCACCCCAATCACTCCACATGATAGCCACCCAAACCCCAGAGCCACCCTGCTCATGAGCAGCTGACTGCAAATGCACAAGGGAGTCCAAGCAAGACCAACAGAACAACCTCCTTGACGAGCTCAACTTGCCAATGCACAGAATCATAGGCTAAATAAATGGTTATTATTAAAGCTACTAAATTTTGGAGTAGTCTGTTATGCAACAATAAACAATTGATACAACAATATTTGTGTTTTTAATAACTCCCAGTTATACCCTGAACTTATTGCCACAGTTTGTCTCTGAGAAGCCATGGGCTTTGCCTCTTGACGTAACACAATTGGGATTTGTCTTGGGCTATCTCATTAGTGTCAATGGCTCTAGCAAAAGAAATAGCCCCTGCTTCTTCCATTAAGATGCTAAGAGATTTGGGTAAATGGTACAGAAAATTTGGTGTTTGCCACCAGTCACTTGAGGGGAAAAGGAAGGGTTAAATACATAAATAATTGCATTTCTTGGACATAGTTTTCTGACCTTCAGCCGGCGGTCTGGATCTCCACTGCATAGAGAATTTACAGATACTTTGAATGATTTCCAGGCTGGGCTTAAGTTATTCATCACAACCTGAGAAAAGAAAGGGAGGGGGCTGGGTGAGAGAGGAAATGCTTGACATTTTCACATTTCAACATAAAAATTGCTTGAGAAGCACTGTGGTGCTTATGAAAAGGACAATTGTCTGGGACAGGTGCCTTAAAGAAAACTTGGAATGGTAAATCTTTTAAGGGTGCCCACTAAGTGGGTCATTATAAGCAGAACTCCTGCAGTCAGTGGCTTGGCTATTGTTTCTTGAATAATGACGATAAATTGTCCACTATGTGGATGACAGAGATGACCAAAAGGGGCTGGGACTAAGGAGGTGGGGCTGCCTCTGGCCTTTGCTAAAGGATCCCCAGTTCTGCAGGACTGTCAGTCCTATGGCATAAATTCTTTTCTATTGAGGTAAGCATAGGTAAAGACTATTGGTGGGTGAGTGGGGGTGGGTGAGTGGGGGTGTATGGAAGGACAATTCTACTGCTAAAGAATTGAATGGTCTTTAGTAACCTGTGACCTTGAGTTAGATCAGAATGCAAGTCAGAGGAAGTTTCTAGGAGAAAAATCTCAAGAGCATACTGACATAAGCTCATCACCATCTCAATTAGAATATCCTAGTAAGGCACAATAGCGCAGATCTCAGATCTTCAGTGTTACAAACTAAGTCTATAATATGATGAGACCCTTTCAAAAGCAGCTTATTAATCATGAACTTGGCTAAATCCTGCCCAAGAGTCCATACAAGTCAACTCTGATCCTGCCTTCACTATGATTCAAATAATTCAATTTGGTTTAGAACGTCTGAGTATCTGCTTTACGTCTAGCATTGTACTGTGTACCCCAGGGCAGGGGTTCCCAAAGTGTGGTTCTTGGACCAGCAGGAGCTGCATCACCTGGCAACTTGTTAAAAATGCACACTTCTAGGCTCCCTCCACCCACCTGCTGACAGAAACTCTGGAGGTGGGCCCCTGAGGTGACTGTGATGCGTGAACTCTGATGCGTGAACCATTTGCTCTAGGGGACGTACAAATAGAGTTCAATGGGATTCTGTCATATTGACTTTTCCTCCCATGAAGTTTTTAGTTAGCAGAAGTCTGAACATTATAAAAAAAAAGTTAATTCTCTAAATAACGTAATTATTTTATAAGTGATTCTCTCTTCTACTGGCTTCCTTAATATAGCCATGAATTATTGATTATATCATGGACTCATTAAGTTTCTTTTAATACATTAAAGTAGAAAAATAATGTTTCTGTGTGACTTTGTCTTGTGCTCTGATACCCTGGTGATGATCAAAGTGATGGTGAGAAGAAAAGTTAGGTAAAACTGTTTGGCTTAATTTAAATTTCTCACCTTTATAAAAAAATATTAGCAAGTGAAGATGTTCCATTGCAACAGTTTTGAAAAACTTTTGTGAATCCACATTTCAACTAGAAATTTCCTCTGAAATTAAAATGTCTGTTTGTGTGTATGTGTGCTTACCCCAACAGAACAGTATTTCCTGGCATTGATTTTGTATCTATTGAGTAAGAAAGAGGAAAAATCAACTTTATGTTACTTGACTCACTGGAAAACTTTCCAATCACATTTCTTGTGAGACTCCGGGAGCCCTGCAGCAATGGGGTATGGAGGGGAGTTCTAGAGACTCTTGGGAAGAGGAGAATTTACGAGTATCAATAAGGAGAAGAGGAATGCTGTCAGGAGCAAAGGAGAGGATGATCTCGTGAGAAAAGCCCAACAGTATGCCATCCACTTCCTCTCTCCTCGCACATTAAAGCCCAATTCGCTGACTGGAGCAAAAGCATGAATGGATACCACTTCTGATTCTCCCCCAGATTTATTTACTTATCCTGAAAGAAGTCTGTTTCACCAAAGAAATATTTATGAGTGATACAGACTCTATTTGGTGGTGGTGATGGGGTGCCGCTCAGGGAAAATGTCCCAGTTACACCTCAAACTATTCCCAAGGCATTAAGTTCCAGAGAATCACATTGTACTATAACATGCAGTGGACATATTATCTATACTCAACTCCATTCATTTACTCATGCTTTTATTAAACACATTTTATTAAATGCCAACTATGCATCAGATGATATCCACAGACTAGCCCATCCAAGGCTATTTAATTTTTGTTTACCTTAAGTATGACATGAAAAGTCCCCCTAATGCTACCTGTAGCTCTATTATTTCAGGAAAATGGAACTGGATTTCTACAATCATCCTATGAAAGTCATGAATGTTCCTTCTTCCTTTCCCCTACCACTGGCATGTAAGCACAACAGACTTTTCTCACAGCTCCAAGTCATTCATCACAATTAGCCCACTTTCTCCTTATCAACGTACTTCTCACCCCCAGAATCTCTCTCGGACTGTCTTGTAAATAAAATAAAAAGTGGAGAGTGGGGTTGGTTGTTAAGTGAGTGTGTGGTAGTAGGTAGTGGGGGGTGGGGTAGTGAGGGATACAGTGTGGAGCCACATGGAGAAAGAGGAGGGAGGGTGAGAAGGAGATGCAGCCAGACTAAGTGGCTGCTGAGACAGGACAGCTGTTCATACAATAGGCCTGACATTAGTCCAGTGTAGGAACCTTCCCTGTGGAGGCAGATTGGCTTCCCGAATTACAGGGAAGCTCGGGGCCAAACAAACTCAGTTCAAACCTCAGCTCCACCTCTTGCTAACTGTCGGAACTGGGAAAGTGACTTGAACTTCTGAAAGTTCAGTTTATTCAACTGTAAAATGGGGGTAATAATCACATCAAGGGATTGTTGAGAGAAGTATATAAAATAATGCATATAAAATCCCTTAGTGCAAAGCTTCGCACCTAGTCACACATTAAATGTTAGCTAACATTCAGATCTTTATTATTAGTAACTTGCTGGCTGTCTGTAATGAAGGTCAATAACGAAAAATTGGGGTGAGAGAGGGTCTCCTCTTCTAACATCTAAATTGAGAACAAAGAGCCCTTTTGAGGACAGTGAGGACTCCAGGTCTGAGTAGATAGCTACAGACACTAAGAAATGTATGGGGTTTCTCAAAAGAGGTCAGTTTATCATCTTAGGAGATGAAATGGTACAGCTGAAGATGACTCTTCTCACCTCAGTTCGGTGCACGAGCTGCTGAGTTGCATCATCATTCATCCGAAAAATTTCCATAAATGGGTCAGATTTACTGAAGAAATCCTAAAATAGACAAACAAACAGAAATGAGTTCTTTCTCTGCCCCCTGTACAAACACATTTGACCCAGCCCTGGATCAAACACCCCTGGCTCTGACCCTGCCCTGCTTTATTCCTCATCCCTCTGATCCACCCTTGGCTAGAATGAGCTGCTTCTGAACTCCAAGTCCTTTGAGAAGAACTTGGTTGACTGAAATCCAAAGTATTCTTCAAAGATCAATTCAAGTGCCAGCTCTCTGAGAAGCTATGTATCTGCTGTCTTAAACATGTTAATTGCAGTTATTATAAAGCCTATGTCTGATGACTACAATATCTGGATCACCTATGGGTCTGTTTTTATTATCTGTTTCTTGGCCTCTTGATAGGCTTGTTAATTTTTGATTAAATAATAGACACTGTGTAAAAAAGATCATAAAGGCTTTAGTTGAGTCTTTAGCTACTGGCAGGCAGTCAGAATAGGGGCAGTCACCTGAATCTAATTAGGATTGAACTATTTAGAGGTTGGGTTTCTTAAAAGTCTGTAAAGGCCCCCATCTATTTCTGATTCCTTTACTCCTTGGGTATAGTCCTGAAAGGGCTCCAGCTGAAAGGCTGAGTGTTTATGAAGGCTGCTCCTCCTTGACAAGCCCTCAATGCTAATTTTCATTTGTGAGACTCTCAAAGGCTCTGTTTTTCTCCACAATCTCTTTGCTCTAGCTTTTTGTTCAGTTTCTCTCTATGCTGCTATTTGCTAACTGGTGAGTGCTTTCAGAGGAGAAGTCACTCAGACTATTGGACCACTTCCCTTCTCTGAAGCATCTATGAGTCTTTAGTCCTGGCTCTCTCAGTAGCCCTGGACTTCAGTTTGCTTCCCCAGTTCCATGAGACTATCAAAACCCCTGCTCGGTTTCTCTATTTCTTAGTAGCTATTTTCTGCTAGGCTTCCCAGCTTCTCTATCCACAGTATTTTACGAATCAGCCTTGAGGAATTGTCTTGAGTGGAAAATCTGCATAGAATGTCTGAATCACCTCAATGAGTTTTCTCTTCTCTCCAGGTTCTTGGCTCCTCCAATCTTGACTGCCTAAAGACTCTCAAACAGATGTCTCCTGTATCTTATCCAATGTTTACAGTTGTTTTCAGTGGAGGAATAATGTAAAACAAACAGATACTTTATGACTGGAAGCAGACCTATCCACACCCTTCTTTTAAACTTGTTTCTTACCACAATAGATTCTAAATGCTCAGAGAGGAGGAACTGCATCTCATTTTCCTTTCTACTTCTACCATTTCCTCAGCATCTTCCATAGCATCTAGCTTTTAGTGGTACACAGTGTTTATTGAATGTACGAGTGAATACATGAATAAAAGAATGACATGAACACCTGGTATAGGATAGGAGCTATCTGAGTAACAGACTTAGTCATCACACTCTTATTATGTATTTCACCAGGTGATTTTTTCCCCTCAGAAATCTAGACTGTGGCAAAGCAGAATAAAGCCTACAGCCATCCTAGTCTTCGGCTCAACAAAATATTCTCAGAGGATATACTGATCATGGAGCCTTTGTGCTTGATGTTAAGATACAAGGAAGGATAAATCTCTTCTCAGCCCTCCAAAGCACCATCTAGTTCGATGGAAAGACAAGGACACAAATAAATATAACCCAGGGCTAAGTATGTATGAATGAACAAATAGATAAATAAATGTATAACAAAGAGGAAGGGGAGTTGATGGATTTTGACTGGAAAATATGGTTGTGAGGAGGATGTCTCTGGGGGGGGACAGGAGAGAGAAGGTGTGAAACAATAAACATAAAGGGGGCATGCCAAGTAGCTTAATTCCACTGCAGCCTAAGGATGTGTAGGGGAGGAGTTTGAGACAACGCTGGCAAAGCCAGCTCCATGAAGTAAAGGGCCTTAAATGCTCATCCGAAGTCTTTGCACTTGCCTTGAGAGGCAGTGGGAGCCACTAAAGGATTTTGAGCAGAAAAATAATACGATCGGCCCTGGAGTGAAGAAGATCAGCCTAGAAACTTGGTCGGATACCTTAGAAAGAGAAGCCATGGGAGGTGGGGATATCTGTCTTCCCCATGGCCGTCCTCCCCACCCAACCCGGAACCCAACACCAAGCTCCGCAACACCCAGAGTCTGGAAAATACCCTTCTGCTCTATTTTTGAAGGTGCCTGATTACCACGGCCTTCATCTTGTCAAGAACCCACAATGGCTGCTTTCCTCAATAAGTTTGTGCTGCAAATCTTGTCTCTCCACCAAAATGGCCCCTGTTTTCCTCCCAGACAAACTTCTAGCTGATTCCTACCTCTACACATTTACTCCACACATTTGCCCCTTGGGTCTCTTTCTGTTTCAACACTCATCTCAAAGAATTAGAACCTCCCTCCTGCCTCCGTTCCTTAATGGTGTGGGCCACGTCAGCTTGTTCTTAGGGGCTCTTGGGTTTCTCCTCTAGAAGCTCCAGGCTTTGCCTGCTTGCATAGGTGCTTGATCCCTCAGGGAATATGCTTGTGAGTTGTACTTAAAAATTTCTGACCACACTGGAGGACCTCAGTTCTTTTTCTTTTTCTTTTTATGGTAATTTTAAACTTTTGTTATCATTTTTATTTAAAAGTAGAAAAAACGGAAAGATGACTGAAATAGAAAAAAGGAAAAAAATAGTCCATAATCTCTCTCACAACTCCACAGTTATCAATAAGATTTTAGTTAATATTTTTCTAGAATCTAAACATAATTTTCCTTTCTTTTTTTCTTTTAAAAAAATATTTGTAGGGTCTGGCCTGGTGGTGCAGCGGTTAAGTTTGCACATTCTATTTTGGCAGCCTGGGGTTTGCCAGTTCGGATCCTGGGTGCGGACATGGCACCACTTGGCAAAGCATGCTGTGGCAGGCGTCCCACATAAAATAGAGGAAGATGGGCATGGATGTTAGCTCAGGGCCAGTCTTCCTCAGCAAAAAAGAAACAAAAACATATTTGTAATCATACTCTACATACACTTTAGCGCTGTATTTTTTTCTCTTGGAAGTATGTTGCAACACTTTTTCTATTTTATTTCACATTCTTTCAAAATATTATTTAGGGTTAGCATGGAGTTGTTGTCAGAAGGACTTACTATAAATCAAGGAAAGAAAGATCAGATATAATCTCTGCCCTTAAGTAACTGAAAATCTATTATCACCACGCTGGCTTTGGGGCTGCTTTCAAATCGTGATTCCACCATATACCATCTGGATGATCTGGGGCAAGATATTTAATATCTCCAAGGCTCAGGTTCCTTATCCATAAATGGAGAGGGTATCACCTGTTGCCTCATGGCAACGTGGAAGAATTAGAGGAGCTGACACACGTGAAGTGTTGAGTCCAGCACCTGGCATCCAGAAAGCATAGCACTCAAAAAGTGTTGCTGCTTTGATTATTATCAATAAAAGAGAGAACGCATGAGGCCACTTTGTAAAGCCCTTTACAGATATCGGGGATGATTACTATTAAGAAGGCATCTGATTCCTGGAAATAAAACAACTCATTAGCAGCTCAAAAATATCTTAAATGTACAGTCAGACATTTGTAGCTTAGAAACAACAAGTCTGGGTCTAACTGTATGGCGACCTGACCACAGCCTGGAATTTTCAGCTTTCTTTGCTTGACCATCAACATTAAGATGGCCCTTGGGACAGTTCAGCACAGTGAAGATTAATAATATAGGCATACTGAAGTTTGGTATGGCAAAATTTTTTAATAACTTGGAGGCCATGTTACTCTGCCCTTTTAGTCCAATATGAAAGAAATTTAGTCAAGTGAGAGGGTAATAAGCAATCAGCTGAGGTTTGGAATAGAGAAGGAAGCAGTGCATTTCCACTACAGTGATCTTGAAAATAGAATACTGAAACTAGAAAAGATTGTCTGAAAGATGTGGGGTCATATCCAGACTCTATAGCTTCCTAGGTTTGTGACTTTGGGCAAATCATTTAACCTCACTATGCTTCATCTGTAAAATGGAAATAATAATATTCACCTTTGGGAATAAGGTTATGAGTTTTGGAGATAATGCAGGTTAGACATGACAGCTGGTGCATTGTAGATGCTCATTAATTATAATTGGCTATCATTAATGCAGTCTGGATAAGTTTTCATACTTGAACACAGTAAAATCACAGCATAGTAGGCAGGAATTTAACATTGCCTATAACAGGGGCCAGCAACACATGGTGCATGGCCTAAATCCGGCCCATTGACTGCCTTTGTGAATAAAGTTTTATTGGAACACTGCCACACTCATTCATTTAGGTATTGTCTATGGCTGTTTTCACGCTTCAAAGGCAGAACTCTGGTTGGGACAGAGACTATATGGCCTGCAAAGTCTAAAATGTTTACCATCTGACCCTTTATAGAGACAGTTTGCCGACCTCTGCTTTAGAGACACATTTGTTTGTTTATATAGCACTCCATCGAACTATCACCACGGGAACGTTAAAAATGCAGTTTATAATGATTACTATTATAGGTGGGGAGACCACCAGTGTAGGGAGCCAGTTCCAACACACCAACGTGAATACTTTCTCAGGAAAGGGAGGAGAAAAAATACTTTGTCAGCTTCAATGTTCCAAAGCGATTACATTCATATCTCTACTTACTCGTTAGATTAGTTGCCAGCTAGGTGCTGATGTAATAAATGTGCTTCAGAAGTTAGAAATCTCATCTTTCCACTAAATGAATGGCATTAACATTAGATAAATTAGTTATTTTTTGCATACCTAACCTACTTTATGTGTGGCTCTCCTTGAGGACTACCTCTCAGACTTCAAGGATTCTGGATTTCCATCTTAGGTAGATGGCTGTTGGTCTGCTGAACAGCATTGGAAAGGCAAGTTAAAAACTATTTCTATGAAAAGAAAAGGGGCATTTCTTTGTCACTGTGGTTTGAAAAAGTTCTGAGTGCTCTCTGGTATTCCCTACAACGGTGGTTTTCAAACTTTTTGGTCTTAGGACTCCTTTACTCTCTTAAAATTTATTGAGGAAGCAAAAGAGCTTTTGTTATTGAGGGTTATATCTATCAATGTCTAGCGTATTGTAAATTAAAACGGAAATTTAAAAAATATTCATTTATTACATCATTTTAAAAATAATAAAAATAAACCCACTACATCATAACAAAAATAGCCCCTTTAATGGAAAATAATTATATTTTCCAGATTTAAAAAAATAGTCGGGAAAATGGTATTATTTTACAGTTTTGCAAATCAACTTAATGCCTGGCTTAATAGAAGGCAGCAGGATTCGAACACCTGCTTCTGCGTTCAATCTGTGGTGACATTAGGCACCATGTCGCTTCCAGAAAACCACCATACAAATGTGAGAGAATGAGAGTGAAGAAGGAAAACAATGTCTTAGTATTATTATGAAAATAGTTTTGACCTCACGTATTCCCCTGAAAGGGTCTTGGGGCCTTGGACCACATTTTGAGGACTGCTGCCTATTGCACACCCTCAACTTCCTTCTTGCGGCTTCCTACTTCCTTGAATTACATGGGAACATTACCAAGTCCACTGTATCCTGAGACCAGTCCAACTTGTGTTCATTAATCATTAGCCCTCTACCCTGAAGGAAGATTTAGATTTTAGTTAGGCAACTGGATTGAGTCCCTCTTTGTCATTGATTATTTCTCAGTGTGCATATGTGTGTGTATGTGGCCTTGGGGTAAGTCATTTCACATCTCTGAACCTCGATGTTCTCTCCTGTAAAAGAAGGCAACTGTATTAGACTGGAGGATTCCTATGTGAGGCATTTGGATACCCAGGGATTACCAGAATTACTGCAAAAGGACTGGAGATCCAGATCTCCTATAATCGTTGTCTGAATTAGATGTAGCATATTTTCCCCACATACTTATACTACAATTTTCACATATATATAGAAATTAGTTGCTCTCATGATAATTAACAGAATTTTTTAAATTAAGAGCTTTTCTCAGTTGCTTTTAGTCATGATACGTTTTCTCAATTAAAAGATATAAGTTCAACTGCTAAAATGTAGGTAGTTACATCATTTAATGCTAAAAGCTAGAAAGAGGTCCTCCTTGAGAACCTTTGGGAACTATTTTTCCATCTGTGACATGAAATAATTACGTTGTCTTATTCTGGTTCTATCACAAAAATGTTGTGGAAGATTGTATTTTCCAAAGATGGCCACCATAACGTCCACTATCCACATACTTTTCTATGACATGACTTTGCCACTCCCCCATCGAGGTGTGGAGACTAACTCCCCTCTCCTTGACTCTGGGCTGACCTTACGACTCACTTGTAACCAACAGAATGCAGCAGAAGTGATGATGGGTGACTTCCAAGGCTGGGTCAGAAAAGGCCACACAGCTTCTGCCTGGTTCTCTTGAGATGCTCTCTCTGGGAGAAGCCAGCCACCATGTAGGAAGTGTGACTAACCCAAGACCACTATGTATACACTCTGGTTGACTGACTCAGCTGAGCCCAGCCTTTCAGCCACCCCATGTGCCAAGCATGTGAGCAAAGCTAGACCAGACTCTCTAGACAAGCTCCTTCATGAGCTGAGTATCACTGAGTGACTTCTGTCAACATCATAAGGAGCAGAAGTATTGCCCAGTTGAACCCTGCCTGAATTTCTGACCTTCAAAATTATGACATAAAATAAAACAGTTGTTAATTTAAGTCACTAGGTTTCCAGGTGGTTTGCTATGCTGCAGTAGATAACCAATGCAGCAATAATGTCTTTGGGTAAGTCATCAGACCTTGCTGAGCCTTTGTTTTCTAAAGAGGTTGTGTGAGAAGATTTTCATGGTATCATCTTACTCCTTAATTCTGCAACTTTGCCCTCTTTCCACCTGCGACTATTCACCTTCCAGTCCAAACTGGAGCAAGGGCCTCTGTTTTGTTCTGAACAAAGAATGGCTGCTCTGGATTACTAAGGAGTCTGGGCAAGATACCACTACATTATGAAGGACCTGGGGTCTACAGCGGTGGAGCATTGAGGCTCTGCAGTGACCAGGGCCCTGGACAATCAGTGTAGCCAAGGGTGGGAATGGCAATCTAAAATCATATTAAGTGCTGCATGGGGTTCTTTCAGTTTTGTGAGCAAGTGCTCATTTGAACGAACAGAAACCGTTCAAACATCTAGAGTCGATGGGCCACTAACAACCTCCCAAGCCCCTTTGCACTGTGACATAAGTCAGTTAGAGGACAAATGAGAGGTACTTAAGAGACTACTAAGTGGAAAGAAGCCATTATAAGCCATTAAGTGAGTAGCTTAAAACAGCTACACACTGACCCAATGGCTTCTAATGGCACCAGGAAAGATACTACAAAGCAGTTTAGTGAATTATTCTGAAACTTGGGGAGATGATGGGGGAGCACGAGCATAACAGTCACAAGGAAGTGAAGGTTAAAAGCTTACACTCAACTGACATCAATGCACACTGCAGCTCCCAGCGCCCAGCTCACGCTAATGTCAAAAGGTAGCAGTCTGTGAAAGTTTCACACAATCTACTCAGGACACTAAAAAGTCCAAATGTAATTTGTTCACAAGGATAAAGTGTTTCCTGATGTTCCCAGGCAGAGTGAATTACCCTGTTCGGGACGCTCCGATTATACATCACTTACATCCTACCATGGCTATAGAATGATTATATCACTGGTTGTTTAAATTTCTGTTTCACTTAGTTAGATGGTGAATTCCAGGTTGCGGGTGTGAGAGGGGTTTACAGTATGTCTTTTTGCCACCACCTGATGCATAGCAAGCATGTAACAAAGGTTTGGTAAAAGAATAATGAATAAGCTAACAAATGAATAAATGAGACAATTAATGAATGTATAAATGGGCCGAGTACTTTTTGTAGGTGAAAGTGAATGGGCTATGCTGGGATATAAGCTTCTGCTTAAGACCTTAGGGAATTGCTGAGACATCGCTTTACCTTTTCCAGCCTAATGCCTGTAAGTAACTGAAAAAGTGGTGCCACATCCCAAAATCCCCTATTCTCTAGTTGTACTAGAGAATGGAGTCCTTTGTGAATACCTTTATTGATGTGACGTGTTTTTTGAGTTGAGGATATGGTTGGAGGGAAATTATAAATATATGGTGAGGTTGGGGAGGACATGGGTCTTTTTTTTTTGAGAGGTGGAGACTGCAGACCTTTTTCTCTATATACAGGACTAACATGGTCTGTGATTAGGTGGAAGTTGCAAGACATAATAGAAAGAATATAGATGGGAATCAGACTGACATGGAACTGAAACCTCAGTTTTACCACTTACTAGCAGGGTATGGTGGCATGAAGAGCATAACTGACCAAAGACCCCAGCTGCTGGGCTCTGAAATCCATCCTTGCATTTGTACTGAGGCCAGCCTTCCCATGGGCTGCTTCCAGCCAGTGACTGCGTGTGTAGGGGATATTAAGGCAGGCATGGGAGACTAGGCACTCTCTTGCTGGCTGATTTTTGGCTCCAGGACTCCTTGGTGGCCTTGCTGAACCTTCCTTAGACTGCATGGCATTCCAGGACACTGCTACCCACCCTTCTCTCCCGCTCTCCTTTACTCATGGTCAGATTTGCATTGTGGTCTGTTAACTCTCCTAGACTTCCTCCCTATGTTCCCCACCCAGGCATTTCCTCTGATAGAATCCTTGCATGTTTAATCCTGTCTTGGCATCTGTTTCTTGGGTTATCTGGACCCAAGTTATTACATGGAGTGAGCTTAGACAAGTTGCTTCATCTTTGAATCTGTTTTCTCATCTACAAAACACGGTTAATGATGGTACCTGTTACATGGGAGTTATAAAAATGACTAAGTGTGATAGTGCATGAAAAGCTCTTAACTCTGTACCTGGCAAATATGGGTGATTAATAAACATCACTTTTCTTCATTTCACGTCTTCTCTTTTTCTTTGAAATGTCCCTAGCAATGAGGTTAAATCATATTTACCTGTGCACACCTGACCCGTGGCATTTGGGAACAAATGCAGTCTAGATGTAATAAAATTGGTCTGTTTCAATTATAGTCCCTCCCTCTTCTCATTAACCGCTTCTCAATTTTGGGAAGTCTTACTTTGCAGACCTCTCTGGAATCTTTTCATCTGTCTAATAATGTGGGTTGAAAGGGAAAAAGTAGCCACAGGGAGAAATCTGATTAAACTTTGTGTGCTAGCTTTATTACTTCCCTCAATAAGGTTAATGCCAAACACTTTACCTTGTCATCCAATTTCCGTGCATTGAACGCAAGTTCAACGTAGTCATCATTGCCAGATAATTCTTCAGCAATCACCTAAAGGAAAAGCACGCATCAGCTGTAATAGTGGTTGAGCCACTGAGCCAAGGAATTCAAGAACAAATTTAGCTTATGTTTGGTCCAAAAATCCACAGACTGATGTTGGACAAGGAGTTTGCCACAACTCTAGTGAACCCGGCACAGCATTTCCAGGTGTACAAGAGCGCTGCTTAGACTAGAGAGCAGTAGATAACTGGGTTTCATTTATGCTGAGATTTCATCTCATGAGAGATGAGGGGTGAGCTGGAGTAAGAGATATTTGGAGCAGCGATTAGGAAGAGCTTCTTTCGTTAAAAGAATTGCACAAAGCATTGGATGGCACTTCCATAAATAATTATTATACATATATATTTTTGGCAGGGGGAGTTACAAAGGAGGAGCAGCAATATTTCTCCACTGTTTTGAGTAGACCAACAAGGGATGGAGGAGTAAACTAGTCCCTATGTCCTTTACAGACCAGTGGTTATATGGTTATCAAAGAAATGTTCTAATTCTTATTTCTCAAAAAGACGGTCCCTGGGTTTTCTGAAACAGGAGAGAGAGAACAAGGATCTAAGCCCTTAACTCCCAAGAATAGAGAATGCCTGGCAAGGATTTTGGTACAAGTGAAGAGATAATATTATCTAAGAGCCTCTTTCACAATAAACCAGTTTCTAATATTTAATAGTCAGTGATTCTAAAAGCCTTGGAGCAGAAATGGGTGAAAAAAGTCAGGAGAAAAACAACAAGAAAACGAGAAAAATCTAGGGTCTAGTTTCCTATAGGTTAAAGCATTTAAAAATGTTAGGACCTCACCATGCACTCAGAAGTCCTAGCACATGAACACCCCTATCAAATTGGTTATGAGCTGTAATTTAATTTTATCTCCATTCTATCTGAGCTTGACTTTTCCATTATGAGTTGGTTTCATCTGTTCTGAGTACACACTGGCAGCCTCTGGAAAATTTTATTTTATACCTAATATTAAAGCTTAAAAGGTTGTCTAAAGAGGGAAAGACCTCCCACAAAGTGTGAGCAACTGAGGAGTAGGGAAGATGAGTCCAGATACACAGCAAAAACTCAAAAGCTGCTTGATAAACCAGGAACTATCCTATTTAGATTTTTCATTCAGTCCTCTTTCATCGCCTATCACTTTAATGCCTCTTATACTCCACTTGAGCAGTGGTCTTCAACTATTTTGTGCTCACAGACACCTTTGGAAAGATGATGAAAGTTATGACCTCCACCTGCAGAAGCCTAGAAAATTTTTCACATATTTTCAAGTGTTTTCCGGAGGCTCTTGAAGCCATTGTTTTGATCCAAGGACTCAAGGTTAAGAGGAGTATTTAAATATTTAAAATTAAGAAGAGTGGAGGAAGAAAATGTCTAAGATATCTTAGAGAAAAGGTAGTAATATGAGATTTTGGGGGCCGGGTCCATGGCGTAGTGGTTAAGTGTGATGACATGCTCTGCTTTGGTGGCCTGGGTTCATAGGTTCAGATCCTGAGCACAGACCTACACCCCTTGTCAAGCCATGTTGTGGCTGTGACCCACATACAGAGTTGCAGAAGACAGGCACAGATGTTAGCTCAGGGCTAATCCTCCTGAGGCAAAAAAAAAAAAAAAAGAGGAAGATTGGCAACAGATGTTAGCTCAGAGAGAATCTTCCTCACCAAAAAAAAGATGATGTTTTGTTCTTCTGGGAAAGAACCATCACAAATCTGGGTCTACCATCCCAAGGTTTCTCTGGGTTTGTGGACTTTCAAAGAAAGCCCTTGGGTCCACAGCTTTTTAGAGCACCAGTGGGGTCTTCAAAGACCATTTGAACCATTTGTTCATGATTGAACATGGCAGTCAAAAAGAAGCTTTGACGTGACTGCGTCATTTAAAACACTCAGGCAACAAACTCAGGTAAGTTCTTGTGAGAATGGTCAAAACTTTCACTGCTAGGAATCCTTCTGAATTTTTCCTTTAAAAAATGGCTTAAAAAGTTTTTTTAATGAATCAGTCACCTTCAAGCTAAAAAGGAGTGTTCAAAGGAAGTCAGGAGGTTTGCCTCCCGGCAATTTGCCTTTCTAGAAATTCAGATTCTCCTGGTACTTTTTTCTTTTTTTTTGTACACACAGCTAAATGGTTAGACCACTTTCTCTACCTTTCTCAAGGACTATAATACAAGATGCTAAAATTTCAAATATTTGAGTTCTACTTGAAAATTCAAGATTTTACTTAGAAATACTTCCAATATTGCCCAGTAGAACATCCTATGATGACAGAAACGTTGTGTAATCTGCACTGTCCAATACAGTAGCTGCTAGCCACATGTAACGATTAAGCTCTTGATATGTGGCTAGTCTGAGTGAGGAATAATGTTTGATTTTATTTAATTTTAAATAATTTCATTTAAGTTTAGATGATCCCGTGTGCCTAGTGGCTGCCGAACAGCACAGCACAGCTCCAAACTATTACAGTAAAGAGGAGAGTTGAACGCTGGCCCCTCGGGTTCTTAGGCAACAAACCAAACCTTGGAGTAAATGCTATTAGACCAAATTTTAATTCTGAAAAAAATGAGAGGCGAGGATGGGTAGCTTTGATGATTTGAAAACCCCAATTCCATACTCTTATTGCGCTCCATAAATCTTTGTTCCATTCTAAAACCTACATATTAATTGTGGAAGTGCTTAGTAGAAGTGAATGGCCTCACTTTCAAATCCTTTTTCTACCCCTTTTCCTAGAGGGGGAAGAGTCAAAACTGCATTGGCAGGAAGGAGAAAGAAGGAAAAAAGAAAGGAGTGACTTGGCTAGTCGCACAGTTCTGGCATCACCTCCCAGTAGCCAGAGGGTTTGCTTCCCACGCAATTGGTTTGGATCAGCCACTCCATCCGGGCACCTGGGCAGATGGCTGCTTGGGGAGGGCTTACCGTGATGGAGGATTTCCCTGCTGTGTTCCCGTGCTTCAACAAGGATTTGGACAGCTTTCTCTGGGAAACAATCTGCACAAAAGAAAACAAAAGGTGGAGATGCTAGTCATATAACGGCAGGTCTACGTGCTAGTTTTGCTTCTACAAAATGCTGCATTCACAGCTCTACTTGAAATTATGACATCTATGTCTATTTATTTTCCAAAGTTTTTCCAGAAACCTCTCCTAAATACAGATTATTTCCTTCTTTCCTCTTGTGGCATGTGATATAAGAGAGTGAGTGCTCAGGAATTACAGATAATTCAGTCAATTAGGAGGTGGCTTCATTGTTACTGAGGCATTTATATCAAAATTAGATGGAAAATGTTGATGTGTACATTAAGATAAAGTAGATGAAGTCTCAGAATGATCTCAGATTAGCACTAAAACCTCTGTGCAAAGTAGGGGATGGGGTGCAGGGAGGGAAAGAAACCCAAGGTCTAAATATATACCTTCTGTACCAATAATCTCTAGAGTTCTATTTTTAATATATTCATTAGGAAGCTATAAAGTCAGTCAGCAAGAAACTGATGCTCAGACAAGCCAATAGGAGTAATTGAGGTCTTCTCCATGATTCAGTGTCAATGCACAACATGCAAAGACAACTAAAATCATCATTATATTGGGAGCTATTCTTAGCAGAATGTGCCCCATCTGCCTCTTCCCTGCTTTCTCCCTTTTTTGAAAGAGAAGGGTGGCAAGGCATTGAGGCCCTGATGGGTATGCAACCCATGATTCCCAAAGGAGAAAAGGTTTAAAAGAATCAAGTGAAAGCCACCCTCTTGCCTAGGGAGGACAAAGCCACCTGTTGTGGAAGGCAGCCTTTATCTAAGATGGTCTCCAGTGATCCTTGCCTCCTGGTATTCACACCATTGTGTAATTTCCTCCCTTTGAGTGTAGGATGGATCCAGTCACTTGCTTCTAATGAACAGAATACCATAAAAGTGTTGGGATATCACTTCTGAGATTAGGTTACAAGCTGACCGTGACTTTCTTCTTACACACCATTTCTCATTCTCTCTCTCTCCCAGGTGGGAAAGAATTGATGTCTCCAGCCAACAGCCAGTGGGAACCTGAGGCCCTCCAACAGCCACATGAGCAATCTTGGAAGCAGGTCTTCCCCCAAGTTGAGCCTTGAGATAACTGCATCTTGACAGCAGCCTTGTGAGAGACCCTGACCCGGAGGACCCAGCCATGTTGCCCTCCGATTCCAGACACACAGAAACTGTGAGATAATAAATGTTTTTCTTTTTTCTTTTTTTAAGATTTTATTTTTTTCTTTTTCTCCCCAAAGCCCCCCGGTACATAGTTGTATAGTTTTAGTTGTGGGTCCTTCTAGTTGTGGCATGTGAGATGCCACCTCAGCATGGCTTGATGAGCAGTGCCGTGTCCACGCCCAGGATTCGAACTGGCAAAACCCTGGGCCACCAGAAGTGGAGCCTGCGAACTTAATGACTCGGCCATGGGGCTGGCCCCAATAAATGTTTGTTTTTTTAAGCTGTCAAGTTTTGGGGTAATTTTTTATGTAGCAACAGGTAACAATACATGTATTTACAGAAAGATAGGAAAGGAGATTACTGTGAAAAGCAGGGAGACAAACTCATTCTCTGAAATCCTTATACATTTTTGTCTCTGTGTCAGAGCAATGAAAATATTAGTGTGCTAATGTCAAATGCAAAACGTTCAGAGAACCTCCCTAATCCAAGCAGATTTAAAGATCCTGATGTTCAGTCTGCTATAATCAGAAGAGGAAAGAGTAGTTCTGTAAAAAATCTCCTGGTGAGGATGATGATGATGATGACAATGACAACGTTGGGAACTCCCATCTAAGGAGTACGTATTATGCGGCAGATGCTTTAATCATTCCACTGATACTTAGCCCTCATTCTATGCCAGACTTGATGCTTAGCATAGTCAGATGCGATATCTGACCTCATGGAGCTTATATTCTAGCGGGGGAGATAGAGATTAACCAAAAGGTCAAATAAAAAGTATAACGTCATAAAGGAGAGATGTACTGGTCATGGAGGGGACAATGAATGTCTAGGTGGTGGGGTAGGTGAGAGTAGACCACTTAAGAATCTCTTGTAGTAGTCCAGGCCAGAAGTGATGGTGGCCGTGGAGATGGAGAAAAGAGGCCAGATTTATGAGATATTTAGGTGTAAAATAGTCAGAATTTGGAAACAGACTGAATATGGAGAGAGAGGGAGGCATCCTAAATGCATCCCTGGACCAGATGGCTGTGCCCTTCACTGAAATAAAGGACATGGGAAGAGGAAAGTAAGTTTGGGGGCAAATAACATGTGTTCAGGTTAAGGCAGAAAACAGATTGGAGTAGGGTAAAGAGGAGATGAAGAGGGAAGGAAATGGAGCGAGCACATGAAGACAATTTGTTCAATAAGTTTGGCTATAAAGTGGGGAAGAGAGAAAATAGAATCTGAAAGGAATGAGAAATTGAGTAAGGTTTTTGTTTTAGCTGTCACTTTATGGCTAATTTTACAACCCCACAAATTTGGTATTATTAATTTCCTTTTATAGATGAGGAAAACTGGACACAGAGAGTCTAAGTAACTTTCCCAGAGCTACAGAGCTAACAGGTGGTGTGGCAGGGATTTGAGCACAGGTCTGACTCCAGAAACTGATCCTTCGCTACATTATGACTGGTAAGAAAACTCATGATATAGATTCAGAAAATTTTCACAGCTGGATTTGCACTATATGCATTTGCCTTTGAGCCTCAGAGCTCATGTTAGTGTGCTTAATCCACAATATATAAACATGTTTACATGATTGTAAAGAAATAATCAAGTTAAACTTCAAGAAGGTAGTAATCTGATGACATTGACCTTGGTTGAGGGCACAGTGATTGAGAACATAGGTTTCTTAAAATTTATATCTGGTTATCAGGAAAATGACATAAAAAAACTTCAGATGATAAAGGAATTGACGTTCCTTCCTATGGTTAATTCTGAATCCAAACTCCTCACCTTTTCCACCCTACTCATTAAGAAGGTTCCAGTGGTTTTGTCCTGTAGACAAAAATCATGATCCCTTCCTCTCCCCATTCACAGATTATCACTTATTCTAGAAAGGTTACCGTTTCCTAGAATAACGTAGACGTTATTCTTAAACTTGAGATGAATCAGGACACAAAGGAAACACGGAAGACAAACAGCAAAAAGGCATTAGGAAGACTTTATAGTTTCTCTCTAGGGGGTTTTCAGCAAAGGAGGGGGGAAGACACACGACTAAATGACCAAATAAGGGTCAATGGTAAGCAGTAGCCAAGCCAACAACTGACTAAAGAAGGGCAACATATCCCTGTTTCCCAAAGAAATCTGGTCTCAGAAACACTTCTATCCATTGTCAATGTGTATCATCCACATTGATGACGGAGCCCTATGACTCTAAGTGACACCAACAACCCTCTCAGCACCATAATAACCCACTCACTCGGTCAGCAGGTATGGGGAGATCATCTCTACAGGCTGTGTCTTCCAAGATCCACATTACCTTTCTTCAAGGAAGACCAGGGGGCCTTAACCCTCGAGAACCTGGATGGTCAGAGTTCTCTCTCTTCGCTCTTAACCTATTTAGAAATGCCAGCATTTCCATTTGTAGGGTCTGAAGAGAATGTTACTACGTACCAGCACCTGACTTTTACAAAAGCTAGGAAGATAAGCAATTTCCCGGGAAATATTCCTTCTTAAGAAATGGGCATTAGGGTATACAAGTGGCTAATCAAGCAGGAAATCAAACAAACTTATTTTACAGCCCCCAGGCCTCTATCTCAGCTCCAAAGAATGAGTAATAATTAGAGTTTCAAACCTTTCATTGAAATAATGATCGAGAAACAAGGAATTGCCGTTGATGTTGCCATTCTTAGGACTGTTGGACAAAAATAGTACGGATGCCCAGCTGGAGCCGGGGTCTGTAGAGAAAAGCCTATTTGTTGCAAATCCCAGTTCTCACGTATGCTTTGTTGCAGCTGAAGCAACTGCATCAGGCTCAGACAGGCCTTAGGACTTGTCAGAGGATGAGAAATAGTGACAAGGACTCACACTGGTCCCAGCTGACATTTGAGGCCAACAAATAGCCAGCTCTGCCTGGCATCAGGCTAAAGGGGATGCACTTGTCAGAAGCACTCTAATTTGATTCTTTTCACCCTATATTGGGGTCACAGCTGCAAACCTTAGCATCCAACAAAAGGGTGAAGTGTAGGGGGAGGCAATAGAAGTTGAAACACTCGTTTTAGCAAAATCAGACTGGAGGGACATTAGTACCATTAAGTCCCTGACCTGCGTTCACACAGGCATCTGGGGAGGAAGTGCTTCTCCCCCTGTGAGGTGGACAATATTCCAACAGCATGCGACTTCATTTTTCAAGAAAGTCCACTGCTTCATTTAGATGAAGGGCAATAAAGCCAGGAGAACAAAAAACATTTCGGCCAATATTTCAACAAGGAATATTCAGTTGAACTCTCTTTCAAAGTCTTTCAAACAATCATTTTGGGAACTAGACAGACATTTTCCATGAGACTGCTCTTACTGAAAATATCCTTAAGATTCTGTTTTGGAATTTCTTTAAGGCTCTGTTGCAACAATGATCACTGTACACCTTCTCTGTGTCAGGCACTGATCTGAGGCTACAGTGGTGAACAGACTCAAAGCGTCTCTACAATACTTGACACTCGCATCTCTATCAGCCAGAATTGATAATCCCCAAAGCATGCATGAGAGAACTTTCATTCCTTAAAAGGTAAGTCTTGAAAAGGTCTTTGTTTGGAAATCACAGGATGAGAAAAAGTTTAAGATTGCAACCGGAGGACGCCATAGAGTTTTAGTTGCGAATTCCTCTGAGGACGACCACTTGAGCATTCCTTACACTTGTTTGGCCTTCGAACCCTTTTGTCAAGCAGCATCTCCAGTGTTCTGCAAACTGCTAGTACAATTACTACTACACCACTACAGAGAAAACCAGAGTTTCCTGATGGCCCACTGTAGCAGACAGAGGAAGACCTGCCCAGGCTCCCT